TATATATTGGTACTATCTATATTGTTAAACTTATGGTTTAGCCCGGCTGGATATTTTGTTTTTAGACGTTGTATCCACTTATTTTCATGGGACTCTAAAATCTTTCTAATGTTATCTGCTCTGAACTTTTCTATTCTCTCAATTATAGTGAATTTGGCATGGGTTTTAAAATCGTGTTTTTCCAGGCGGAAATGTTGTTCTACAGGTAATAATTTTTCATGGGGAGTCGACTTAATTAGATTACGATAATTATTAATTCTGTAGTGAAAGGGCCATTCAGATTTTCGTACATATTGTTTCTGGCATAGTGTGCATTCTAGGAGGTAAATTATGTTATGACTTCTACAGTCGTGGTAGATTTTGAAAGTAGATTTAGTGACTGAACTAGTGAATGAATTCGTGTGTTCAATGTGGTTGCAGCATAAGCTTCTTTTGTTGTTACATGGTTGGGAAAAACCTGTTGTTTTTGTTGGTGGTTTATTAAAGATTACCTTGTCCCCTGAAATGTGGTTACTACCTATGATTATATATATATATATATATATATATATATATATATATATATATATATATATACATATATAGTCTGGACATTGACGTCAACACTCAGAGACGACAGGCGCTTTCATACTATACGCAATCGTCAGGGCGGCCTGTCGAGTGCGTGTAGCATGGAACAGCCTGTCGCCTCTGAGTTTCATTTCAGTGTTCACTTTTATATTTATATTTACATACGCTTTATCTCTGATATTGATCACTTTATCCCATGAAAATAGCACACCTTAAATCTATATCTATCTGGTTATATATATATATATATATATATATATATATATATATATATATTGCAAATATTTTTTATTAGATAAGGCAATAAAGTATTAAATTATTATTACTTACTTTCATTTTGATTTCAACCGGCTTTAGTGACACAGTAATTTTAGTACTTATAATCTTACAATGAATTCTTATTACATTAAGAATTATCCACCATTATTTATTTTATGTTATTATTTCGTCCATCTTACTCTTTCGGGTTTTATTTTGCAAAGGTAATGCATTGAAAACCAGAAACAAAAGTGATTGTCAGTGGTCAGGAATGAAGGCAAGCATTACTGATAGAATAGGGCTATTATATGTATAATGTAAATGCATTGCTAATGATTTTACTATAGGAATGCATTGAAAATGAGGAAGAAAGGGATTGTCAGTGGTCAGGAATGAATGCAAGCATTACTGATAGAATAGGGCTATTATATGCATAATGGAAATGCATTGCTAATGATTTTACTATAGGAATGCATTGAATATCAGGAAGAAAGGGATTGTCAGTGGTCAGGAATGAAGGCAAGCATTAAAGATAGAATAGGGCTATTATATATATAATGTAAATGGATTGCTAATCATTTAAATATAGGAATGCATTGAAAATGAGGAAGAAAGGGATTGTCAGTGGTCAGGAATGAATGGAAGCATTACTGATTGAATAGGCCTATTTTATGTATAATGTAAATGCATTGCTAATGATTTTACTATAGGAATGCTATGAAAATGAGGAAGAAAGGGATTGTCAGTGGTCAGGAATGAATTCAAGCATTACTGATTGAATAGGGCTATTACATGTATAATGTAAATGCATTGCTAATGATTTTACTATAGAAATGCATTGAAAATGAGGAAGAAAGGGATTGTCAGTGGTCAGGAATGAAGGCAAGCATTACTGATAGATTAGGCCTATTTTATGTATAATGTAAATGCATTGCTAATGATTTTACTATAGGAATGCATTGAAAATGAGAAAGAAAGGGATTGTCAGTGGTCAGGAATGAATGCAAGCATTACTGATAGAATAGGGCTATTATATATATAATGTAAATGCATTACTTATGATTTTACTACAGAAGTGCAAAGAAAATCTGGAAGAAAGGGATTGTCAGGGGTCAGGAATATGATGGAAACCATTAAGTAATGCTTTTTCAATGGCCAACATTGAATGTTACCATTACTGACAACATGAAAGTACATATACTTTTATGTAGATATTTTTCAAATATTTTGACTAATCATTTTTTCGTTTGTTTTGTTTTGGGGAGGATTCCAAGCAGTTTGTCCAATTTGTGGTGCTGTCTTATCGTCTGTATCGTAAAGTATCTGAGTATGACGGACGATAGAGAAAAGAATGGCCCCGTTAAAATAAACCGCTCTTCAGATTCTATGAAATCCGGTCTAGAATTTTCCAATAATCCTATTCGCCCGATTGGTCAGTCGAGATGAAAATAGGCTTTAGGCTTTTTAGCCGAAGACAAATCCGTTCCTGAGACTTTAATAAATACTTTCAGAAGACTAGCTTGACATATCGTGGGATTTGCAGGAGAGACACGCTTCCATATTTGCAAAGAATCGGTAAGAAAGAAAACAGCCGTGAGCGATCAAAAATTTTGAGGTTGAAATAGTTTGTCGACCGCTGCATACGCTCGCCCGCGAATACACAAATCCCCCACGTTCGTGGGTGGATTGAAATATTCTTGGTTTGGCTTCCCCAAATTTTATCAATTTGCTGAAACTTCAGGTCTGAGAAAAAGTGCATTTTGGCTGGCCCGAGAAGCTGGCAGTAGTCCTTTCTCTATACAGACATATTTCTTTCTTTCTTTTTTATCGCCACACACACATACACACACTTATATGAAGAAAAATATATACGGAAAAAAAAACAAACAAAAATCCTTATATACAATTATGCTGTTTTAATGTTAATATGTCAACGTCGGACGTTTCGGTCTAATAAACCATCTTCAGGACATATTCATAAAATATAATTAACATTATCAATTCAACATGACAAAGACGATGGACATAAGAACAAGACTGTAGAATAACAATGATAAACAGCACATACCGGTGTAAAGGTCCCAGCTAGCGTCCAGCTGGCAGACAAAAATAAAGCAGGTTGTAACTTAATACAAACCCTGCAAACTAACAGATAAATCAAGCTGGTATTTATATAGAAATACCTCCACTCAGGTACCAGCAGCCAATCACAGCCCAAGCAATGGACTATCCCACTTTAGCACAATGAGATGCTCTATGGCAACATAAATAGCTCTCTTTCTAAAGATTATTGTTCACTTAGCTTGCTCCACAACTAAGTGTTTATCTCTACCACGTGATTTTTCTACAAAGACTTATCCAAAAAGTTAAATGAAAGTTTTATAAGATCAGCGCTCCGTTTAAAACATGGTCACGTTGTCGTCACGTGGACGACGCTGCGAAAACGTATTCCTAAAATTTTGAGTATTTTGAATGAAAAATGAAAAGAATTCTATTTTGAACTAAAATTTATATGTACGCTTGTCGAGCATTAATCTCGCTAGAAAATGGGAAATACTAAAGAAGCCAGGTCTAGTATTCACCGTGCGTGAGATGGATATTATGCCTGCTTCCGCCTAAGATTTTTATTATGAAAATATTTTAAAATCTTCACGGAATCAAAATCGAATTTATGATCAGCTTTAGTTGTGTGTACAACTAAAGCATTGTTTAAATTTCCGAGGCGAATATATTTGTTTGTTTTGTTTTTTTCCGTAGATATTTTTCTTCATACTGTCGGATCTATATCCATATATTTGCTTACACACACTTATATATACGATGAAGGACTCTCCCGACGACTTTGACGTATTATGCATTTAAGCCCTTCCATGGTCTCTGCTATCACCACTAACCTTGATCCTCACAAAGCATGTGAACCCAACTGCATCTCTCTTTAATAGTCATTAAGAACTGTGCTCCCGAACTGGCTCCTGTTCTCTCTAAATTGCATAATAAATGCTCCACCGCTTCTTGCTGGAAGTCATCGTCTGCTGTTCCAGTTTTTTAAAATAACTCTGGTAAATCATCTGACTTATCTATGTCTCTCGCTTGTAGAATACTATCTCGGCTTTTGAACCAACTTTAATCTGCAAAAATTTGAATGCAATTTCAATCTCTATCTCCTGTCGTGCTGATTACTCTTTTCTTTTTCTCATTACTAAGGTTTCTGCTCCTAATTCGTCCACAACCTGTAACCCCGTGAGTGCTAGTGACTGTACTGCCTTCCTTGGGGTGATAGTGATTAAATTAAAATTAAAAAAACCAACAACCTCATTCAGTTTTTACAATTGTGTCGTATGTAACACTTTAGTCATGTTAGTGACCTGCATACAAACCCACATATTGTGCAACAACGAGGATCTCGAGACATAGCCACAGGAATATTTGTTGCAGCTTTCCGCCGTTGTCTTTTGTCTCTCGGCCGGTCAATACGACTGATTTCGAAATTTCTGTTATCGCTCTGGTACAAATATATCCAGTTATTTATATCCAGGGCAACTCGCTCGAAGTTAGTATGAGGCACATTACCAGATGAGAGTTTACTCTTTAGGGTGTCTTTATATGTGAACCACGGCCGACCAGCACTCTTGTGTCCACTGTGATGCTGGCTATACATGAGGACCTTAAGTATTCTGTCGTCATTCATCGTTGAGGGGTGGCAAATGTACTTTTTGCATGTCCGATTTCTTGCATTCATCTTGCTTCCTAAATATGTAAATGACTTCGCATACTTCAAGTTATCCCCATCAATCTGGATAGGAGTGTCTGGGAATTGATGAACTGGTGGAGGCTGTCTGACACCATTAATCTGCTTTGGACAAAGATATTAACATTATTTGAAAATGTCAATTTATTAAAAAATATTAGCTTTATTTGAAAATATGAATTTATTAAAGTATATTATCATTATTTTAAAATGTCAATTTATTAAAAAGAATAATAGCTTCATTTGAAAATATCAGTTTATTAAAAAAAATTGCAGAAAGAAAATATATTTCTAATTTTATGAAAAATATTACTTTCGTACATACTTGTGTGTCATGAGACTTTTGAAGACCTAATTTTGAAGCTAATTTTAAGAGGGTCTCATCATACATGAGGTATAAAATTAGCATATGTACTTCTGGCCCTGGCGACGCCGTTGATCAAAATTTATATCTATGCATTTACTGTACTCAAATTAGCTTCAAAATTAGATCTTTTAAGGTGGCATGATAGGTGTGTATATTCGATATATATATATATATATATATATATATATATATATATATATATATATATATAGTAATCCTTAAATGTATGATACGCATTTTTTGTAAAAATTAAAAACAAAATTAGGGATGCGTATTATGCACAGCTACAAAAGTCTTTAAAAAAAATGCCGTTTGATATGTCGATTTCAGTTGTGAAATGACTACTTACCACAAAAATACGACAATTTGACACTAACATTCGGTGATTGTGACCCCATAAGGATGTCAAATACGATCAAATGTACCTAACAATACTAACAAATGTAAAATAAAATATGAATTATCATAAAACTAAATTAAAATAATATTATTTTATGTTCAAAACCAATTTTTTAGTGAAAAACTACATACAGATCCGGTAGATTGCATATTTTATCGAACAAAAACAGGTTAATGAGTCTGCGCAGTAGGCACAATATGGCTATTTCCGTTTCTATTTAGAATCGGGATGATCGGAAATTTTGATAAATATCTTCAATTACAGCTTGAATAAGAGTAGGAAACGCTGGCCTTAATAAAATTGGGAAGTTACAATTTATAAGCTTTTATTACCAAACAAGGGGTGCGTATTATGCGTGAGTAGAAGCATTTTTCCAGACTTTCAGCACAATTTTAGGGGTGCGTATTATGGATGAAAGCGAATTATAGATGGAGAATTACGGTAATCCATAATAATATTTTAAATTTTGAATTAAATTAGAATAATATTATTGTATGTTTAAAACCATTTTTAAAAAAAATTGAGAGTAGGAAACGCTGGCCGTAATAAAATTCATAGGGTTTGATTACCAAACGAGGGTGCGTATTATACGTGAGTATAAGTATTTTCCACATTTCCAACACAAATTTAGGGTGTGTATTATGGATGAAAAATATTATGCATGGAAAAATATATATATATATATATATATATATATATATATATATATATATATATATATATATATATATATATATATATATATATATATATACTATTTGTATTATTTAGTTGAGCGTAACGATATCAAATATATATTGCATTTGCTTTCGCACAAATAAACTTGGAAAAGTATGAATCCATGTCTTCTGATATTAAGGTCTGGGGACTAATAACAACGCAGCCTTGTTTGTCGATCAATCCAGCAACTGAATACAAGACAATTTTGAATACGAAACTACTTGCTCATGATGCTAGCAACTCCAGCCCCGTAAAAATATCCTTACCAGAGAAACAACAGCAGCAGCAACAACGCCTACCATGCTGATTTTCTGGCAGCAACAGCTGCACCGCCTACCAGAATGATTTTCTGGAAGCAGGAGTAGAAACAACGCCTAACAGGGTGATTTTCTGGAAGCAGCGGCAGAAACAACGCCTACCAGAATGATTTTCTGGAAGCAGCAGTAGAAACAACGCCTACCAGGGTGATTTTCTGGAAGCAGCAGCAACGCCTACCAGGGTGATTTTCTGGAAGCAGCAGCAGAAACAACGCCTACCAGGTGATTTTCTGGAAGCAGCAGCAACGCCTACCAGGGTGATTTTCTGGAAGCAGCAGCAACGCCTACCAGGGTTATTTTCTGGAAGCAGCAGCAACGCCTACCAGGGTGATTTTCTGGAAAGCAGCAGAAACAACGCCTACCAGGTGATTTTCTGGAAGCAGCAGCAACGCCTACCAGGGTGATTTTCTGGAAGCAGCAGCAACGCCTACCAATTTTTTTTCTGGAAGCAGCAACGCCTACCAGGGTGATTTTTTTGGGAAGCACTAAAAAGAAGAAACAACGCCTACCAGGTGATTTTCTGGAAGCAGCAGCAAAAAACCAGGGTGATTTTCTGGAAGCAGCAGCAACGCCTACCAGGGTGATTTTCTGGAAGCAGCAGCAGAAACAACGCCTACCAGGGTGATTTTCTGGAAGCAACAGCAACGCCTACCAGGGTGATTTTCTGGAAGCAGCAGCAGAAACAACGCCTACCAGGTGATTTTCTGGAAGCAGCAGCAACGCCTACCAGGGTGATTTTCTGGAAGCAGCAGCAGCAGCAAAGTATACCAGGGTGATTTTCTGGCCCTATACACCCCCTGACATACATGTATCCATTTTCAATATATTTTTTTTTCATAAATATAAATCATCTCTGCCTATATACATAGTTATCTAAGTTATACATACATATACGTACACACACGCACACATGCATACATATATATATATATATATATATATATATATATATAAACTGTTATCTCCTTCTTTTGTCCTTTAGTTTTTTGTTTGTACAAAAGATTGGTATTATTTCCAAGCACCGCTGATCGGCCGGCCCGTACACGCACATCGATGAGATGGTTACGGTAAACGCCGAGCAGAAGTTATTATTTCGCCTTTAATAACATATTAAGCCGATTTCCTCTTATATCGTGAAGGGTATCGATCTATGCGGAGGGGGTTTGCTCTCTCTCTCTCCCTCTCTCTCTCTCTCTCTCTCTCTCTCTATGAGGATGCGTCTGTCCTCGTTTGCTGGGTGTGGACGGGAAAGAAGTGAAATCTCTTTAGAATAAGCAGCAATAATGGATTAAGTGGACTGGGTGAAAGAAGGAGGGGATAGAGCCAAAGGGATGGCTGAGACAGACAGACAGACAGATAGATAGATAGATAGATAGATAGATAGATATGAACAGTCTTCGATAGATAGATAGATAGATAGATGTGAACAGACTGAGATAGATAAATAGATAGATATGAACAGAGATAGATAGATAGATATGAACAGAATGAGATAGATAGATAGATAGATAGATAGATAGATAGATAGATAGATATGAGCAGAATGAGATAGATAGATAGATAGATAGATAGATATGAACAGACTGATAGATAGATAGATAGATAGATAGATAGATAGATAGATATGAGCAGAATGAGATAGATAGATAGATAGATAGATAGATAGATAGATAGATAGATGAGGATAAGCTGCGATAGATAGATAGATTCGAATATTCTGTGACTCGGTTGAACTATACACAGACATTTTTTTTTTTGCTGTAGGAGTTAAAATTAATGCATTTTCGTTGATCTTAACCTACCTGATAGACCTACAGTCACACATTAACTTTGTCTAACCTTAATGATACAGGTAAGCTCTTTTAACCTGTACCCGCCACCGGCAGACTAAATTCTTTCTTTCTCTTTCTACATGATCAGAAGAACGTCATTCACTATACGTGCCACTTAAAATCTTTAAATACCTTATAGAAATTTAAGAAATAACAATATTTGATTTTTCCTTTCTCCAATTTGCGTTCATCTTCATTCGCACATGTTTACATCGCTTATATAATTGTTGCTTTTCCTCTTTTGTTTGATATATTATATATATATATATATATATATATATATATATATATATATATATATTGTTTGTATTTAGGCAGAATTTTTCATTGATGGATGTTTCGTTTTTTCGTTGAAAACACAACTATACTTAAACATGAAAACAAACAAAAAGTACCTGCCGAGGTAGCGAGTTCGACAATTGAACAATCTATTCACTGTTAATATTTAATAGTCCCCCCCCCAAGAGGGATGTATGTGGCACAAGGCCGAGTTTGCCGTGGATTCTCCGAGCCCGTAGGCGCGACCAAAATTATACCCTTAAAACCCGCATAAACGGGTTCCGTGTTTGTCTAACAACCCCCGACCCCCACTCACGGACGAAACTTTGGCTTTCGGCAAGCAGCGTCTTGGTTCCTATCTGCTCAAGGCAGAGAGTTCGACAGTTGAACAATCTATTCAGTGTTATATTTAACGAACGTAATTTGTATGTGGCACAAGGCCGAGTTTATCGTGGGTTCTCCTAGCCCGTAGGCTCGGCATAAATCTTTCCCTTCGAACCAGTATAAAAAATTTTTTCAGGGCCTGTATACAAATGGACGAAACTTTACTCCTTCAGCAGAGCCTCGTCTGGATGCCTCTCTGCTCAAGGCAGCAACGAACAATCTAGGCGACTGTTAATATTTAACAGTCTGAAATCAACGAAGGGTGTATATATGGTACAAGGGTAATATTGTGGGTACTCTGAGCCCGTAGTCTCGGCCAAAAATATTCCTTTTGAACCCGCCTAAATGGGTTCAGCGCCTGTCTACTTCCCTGGACGAAACTTTGCCCTGCGGCAAAACCTCATCCGGGTTCCTCTCTGCCGAGGCAGAGAGTTCGACAGCAATGAACAGTCTGGTCGACCGTTCCCTGAAGCCTTCTGCCCTACTAATCTTATAGTAGACGGAAGAGTCTAACATAGATTCTTTAGAGGGAGGACACCAAAACACTAATAAAGTAGATATTTTATTTCAAAGAAAAATATGTTTTAAGTCACCGAAATATTTTAAAGGACCTAGCGAGAAATAAAGAAATAGACTTATACACGAACATATAGACTATAATGACTGAACGCTCATATACGAGTATACCTGGCAAAATAATCCCTGTTACGGACGCCTCCTCAGGCATATTTAAAAAAAAATCAACACAGAGACCATCTGTGGTTTATAGAAATGTCGATTTCTTTTAAACAAATTTTTTTCTTGAACGTTTATGTCCACCATTCGTCGGTAAATCGTATTGTGACACTATATAAGATTGCGTAGGAAAAAAAAGGGCGAGAATTAATTTAGGTGATGAGAAGCTATCACGAAAAGACACTGAGTGATGTTATTTTTTCTAACAAAGAAAAGTGGTAAAGATTTTATTTTCATTAGCGAAGAATTTAAGATCTCGGATTTAATTTAATTTTATTTACGCGACGAAAGAAGATAGCAATCTGCCCATGGCAATAATGAAAATTTCAGGTTGGTCAAGTGGCCTACAAAACAGAAGTGCTAAGAGATAAAAATTAATTGGGTCGCGCTCTGACTGAAAAAAATGTCCGCTGGACCACCCACAAAGTTTACAAAGAAGGAAAGATTAAACCATTAACTATCTGTCGGAGATATCATTTTGAGAAAAAGCACCTGTTTTATTGTCAGAGCTGGCCATGATAGAAAAAATTATTTTATCGGAACGGATAATTGGCGACAGGGTGCGGAAGATCATTGACCACCCAGTGCTTGTTTGGCGAAAATCTCGATTGACGAGTTCCAGATGAAATTCGGTTAAGATAAGAGTCGTAAGGGTTTGTTGTGAGAAGAAGAAAAAAAAAAAAAAAAAAAAAAAGAAGATAATTTTTTTTCCTTTGAGCGATAATTTCAAACACCCACGCTGCTGAGCGTTCATTGGCTGAAGGGTGGCGTGAGCGGTAGGCGAAGGTAAACTATGAAGAAGGAGGGAGGCCTGTTGACGCCCCCCTGAAGGGAATGGTGTGAGATGCCACTGTGAGAGAGAGAGAGAGGGAACCTGTTGACGCCCTCTGAGGGATTGATGTGAGATACCAATATGAGAAAGGAAGAATTTGGGAAACGAAAAATTAAAAAGTAATGGACTTCCAAAAATGGAAAGTAATAAATTTTCCTGACCGAAAACAAAGAAAATCCTTAATGCGGATTTAGAATTATCAAGGAACCTCAAACCCCGACAAGCCCACCGGTTTTGGTCGGCGTCCATATAAGCAGAGTCGCAGCGAGTGGACGACAGTTGAGGAGTTGGGGTTGAGAGTTGACAGGCAAGCAGTTGAGCTGTGAGCTCTGAGACCCGCCTCGCAGAAAGCTGACTTAAGATCCACGCAATTTCGACCTCAACTTCTAACCAAGAACAATTTATTTTTGAAGGACGACTTAGACTCACACCACCAAAACAAGTTTTACGAATATCGCCTGAAGATACACCAAGAACCAGTTTCTTAAAGAAAAAGACAACTTAAGATGTTAAAACTCGCCTAACAAACGCAAAGTATCACGAATCCATATTAGCGGGTTGGAAGAAAGAAGCGGTCCTGTATTCAGCAACCAGATATAAAACATTGTTATCCTTTTTGTAACACATTTGAATTTTTCGAGTTATTACTTTATTTTCTTTTACATATACTTGTGCGGTATTACCCTTGTTCGGACAGGACTTGAGTTACGGCCCGGTGACTGATTGATTTCGTCTACCTAAGAACGTGGTAGGTTAGACTAGAAATCAAAGCAGTTACTTCGGTAACCAGAGGCGAGCTGGGAGCGACAGGGCTGATACCGAATCTAACCAGATTCCCATCCGAATCAGCAAAGGGTTAGAACGTCACGTTTGGTGCCGCGACCAATACCAAGTCACATTGGTCGTCACAGGACAGGACGGCGACGGGGCAGACAGACGGGGCGACGTCACAGTATATTACTGCCACATTTTGTCTAGAGCTTCTAATTTTTGAGAAAATCCAGAGAGGATCTGCAATTTTATCGGTAGTAACCTGGCAACTCGATTTCATTTAATTTCCCCACTTCATCATCCAAGGCTTTAGATTGATTTAAGCTTTTTTAAAATGCAGAAATTTAACAATCAATAATTTAAAATTCCTGGAATGATGATGAAGAAGAAGAATATATATATATATATATATATCAATGACATACTTTGAAAGTATCATCTTCAGAATGACATACCAAAAACTATAAACACCCTACACTCGAATACCCAATTTAGAAAATTCACCATAGCTGTTACCATGGGGATTTTGATTTCATTTTTTAAAACAAGTAAATTTCAGATATATGTATTATTCAACAAAAATTTCGCTTGAGGATGGAACAAGCCCATTTTACTTTCAATCAATTTAACATAAAAGGATTATATTCAAAGTTTTTGGCTCTAGTTTTTTTCTATGAGACATCTTAAAATATTCTTAGCGATTAAATTTCATTAAAGAACTTATAAAAATTTAACACAAAAGACGATGTTAATTATGTTTAAATGAAAATGTCCATGAAGATGGTCTAAAATAGACCGAAACGTCCAACGTCGCCTTTATATTAACATTAATACTACATAATTGCATATTCAGATTTTTGTTTGTTTTTCTGTATTTTTCTTTCATACTGTCGGATCTATATCCATATATTTGCTTACATATATATATATATATATATATGTGTGTGTGTGTGTGTGTGTGTGTGTGTGTGTGTGTGTGTATAACTTGAATGTAGTGTAATGGGGCAGTTTGATATAACAGACAAGGAATGTCTATTATGTTTGATCATGATCCGTTCTAAACTTCGTATATTTTCTTTTGGGTAATTCCCATATAACTACTCTGATGATGTCTCATGGGAGCCAAAAGCTTAGATCGTGGAACAGCTTAACAATGTTGTATCGACGAACTACTGTCCCCACCTTTGTTTCTATAGTTCTAAAATTTAATTAAAAATTCTTTTGACTTAAGACACCAAATATCTTCCATATAATTACACGACAATGTAAATTCATGTCCTCAGGTTTAATGGCGGGCAGACACGATATGATAGGATCGAATTAGCAAGGAAAATTCCACTTGCTTCCTCTAGCATGGACATTAAAATCCCCATAGACTGAATTAAGGATTCAGTTTGAAATTCTCTGGTTACCAATTATGGTAAACGCATAAAGAATGCTGTTGTGCAAAATGACTAAATCATTGTGACCATAAAATCTTGATAACGAAGCTCGTCTGTATAAACCACTGTATAACAATGAATATACGGCTAATATCTATATATGTCCTTTATATATATATTTTATATATGCAATGTTATTTCAATCATACAAAAATAGAATCATAATGGATTTTGCCTCTTCCTAGAATATATATAAAGATCTCACTAATTCTTTCTTTAGATTACGGTTTCCCAAAGAACACGTTCTGTCATTCACTTGCTTAAGTCCGCCATTTATGTCACGCGTTGTTTTCCCTTGTCTCTTTTTCCGTCTATTCGACTCGTGAGTATCAGATTTTCCAGACCCACCTTTCTCATTATGTGTCCTTTTTCCTTTTTATGTGTTATGTCCTTTCAGTACGTAGGCGATCATGGCTCTCCACCTCCTTCTATTCCTTGCAGCTCTCAAAAAGTTCCTTCTCTCTGCCACCTC